CACACACACACACACACACACACACACACACACACACACACACACACGCAGCCCTAGCTGGACTGGCTGCATGACACACACACACACACACACACACACACACACACACACACACACCACCCTTCCTGCCCTTCGGGGTGGCTTAGCATCTGTTTGTCTTTGCTACTGGAACTGACATTCATGAACGGCCATCTCATGGGGCCCAACCCTGGGCAGAGCGCCACATACTCGCCGCGCTTGTGTCTCCCACCAAGCCCTCGCTGGGCAGGTGGCGAGTGTCTCCTTGTTGAAGAGAAGCCAGTGCTGGACTGCCAGGCCCACCTGGAGAGCCTTCCTCGGGATTTGCTGTCAAGGCTGAATGAGGAGCCAACCTCCCTCCGGCCACCTCTCGGGGCCTTGCTGGCCCGGGTCCCCCATCTCTGGCACCCGGCTGGGGTGGGGGGGTCCGGCACCATGAGGCGCCCAGTCCATGTCTGCGGGGTGAATGGGTCTCCACCGACCCAGGTGCTGGCGGGCGGGAAGGCACCATGGAGGTGGTGGTGATGACAGCGAGCTCGTCCCGGGCCCGTGCCTGCCGAGCTCTTGCTGTCGCGGCTGACATGACACGTCACGCCTTTCTGATTGCATTCGTCCCTTCAGCCCATCTGCTTCATCCTCTGTGGAAAAACCAGAAGATTGGTGCCTTAAATGGTTTGGTTGAAATGTCATGCTCCCATGTCCCCCAAAGCCAGAAGATATCATTTGTGTGTTAGAAAGATATGAAGCCCATGTATCACTGTTAAATGTTTAGGAGCTACCAGGGTATTTTCTAGTTTCTGCCAATATCCTTAAAAAGGTTTAATGTCTGCTAATACCAGTTTAATAAGGAATTTCAGGTACTTCCACTTCTTGTATCTGTTTGTGATGCTACGCGGTAGTCAGCAAATACCTCCTGGCTATCTGCATTTTTTGCTGTTTTTCATTTTTTCTTCCAGTCTGGAAGACCATCCCATTTCGCCCCAGATGGCCCAGCCTGCCCAAAACGGCAGCCTCCCATCCCTGACAAGCGCCCACCCTCCCGTCTACAAGGGGGCTGAGCCCGGTGCTTCGGAGCCTTGCATCTCCTCTTCAGGTAAGAACCGTAAGAACCGCGGGCAGGTGGGGGCGGGGAGTCAGCTCGGGGGCTGGTGATGCCTGGACCGGCAGCAAGCAGCAACAGTTAGAGACCCAGAAAGGCCTCAGCCTCACACCTGATCTCCCCCACGGCCCTGAGTCACAGAGGCCCACAGGCCCGCAACCACACAGGCACACCTCTAAACCCCCTTCTCTGAGAGACTTGCCCACGCACTAGTCGGGCAAGATTTCTGCTCGCGAAAAGTTGTGTGTTTACTGTGCGATTTCCAAGTCGTCATCTCAGAATGATGGAGATTTCTGACCGAGACTTTGGCACCTCAAACTCTGATGCTGAGGCGGTCAGCTACCTGTTCGAGGGCTGGTCTGACAACTGTGCCAGAAGAAGCCAAAACATTTTGAAACATCTAGTCGAGTTCAACAGAGACTGATGGGGGATAAAAGGATTTTTTTAGATGCCAGAAAAAATAGATATGCTTTGAATCAGAAACATACAAAGTATTTTTTTTTTTAATTCGCAAGAGGAAATTAAAAGGATATGAGCAGGCCAGATAAGACCATAATCTCCATGCAAAGAGGAAAAACAACAGAGGAGCAGATCAGATTCCAGGATGAGAAACATCTGAGAACTTTTATAATCTGCTCACAGTTGGATTCCAACACTTCCAAGCCCCAGTTCAAAGCAGGAGGCTGGTCACAGAGTCAGAGCAGAGCCAGGTTGTTTGAGAGTCTGGGGGACTGTCTCCTGGTTATGCACACTTTTAGAGGTTTTGCCACCTGGGATCATATGTTATTAGAGCTGTAAACATTAATATGCCTTCACTGAAAGGTGATTAGCTCCACCAATTGTCCAGAGATTTCTGCTGCCAGGGTGGAGGTTTTAGGTAGTCTAACCACCTTTGCCAATTTAACCTAATGCCATTGAGTTAAAAATGATTTCAAGCTCTATAGGCCTGGACTTCCCAAAAGTTGCATTTAGGGTAATTTATTTATCAGGTACATCCTTGCTTTACCAAAGCAACCACCAGGGTAGTCCTCTGTCTTGTACCAATTCTCGGTATGGTCCTATATTTTGGAAAGATTTAGCATGGATTACCTGTAGGATGGAGGCATTTGAGGTTGCCACAGATGGAGTAGCTGCGTGGCAACTGATTTTCCTGGAGATGGTGGTGTCATTGTGATTTTCAAAAAACAATCGATGGTAGCTCTGACAAAGTCAAGGCCCTGGCCAGTCCTGGTTCCTTGCGTGAAAACAGTGGGCAGCCTTGGTGATCAGCAGCAGGCCCCAGTGCCTCTCCCTGGGGAGGTGACAGCCCTCCACGTGGGCCACCTGGAGCCAGGGCAGCCGCTTGGCCTGAGTCACACTGCCAGGTGTAGCCCTGAACTCTGAGGCCATATTCCACATGTCTCCTCTTGCATGCTCCTCTCTGCTTAGGCCTGCCTGGGACGCCCCCCCAACCGTGTCCATCAACTCCCCACCCCCCACCTCAGTGGGCTCCAAACTAGCTGCCCTCAGTCCGCCAGCCAGAAACCAGCCATATTCACCTCTTGCCCCAGGCCTGCTTGGCCTGTCCTCAGACTCAGGACAGCACTCCTCATTCTCCTTTACAAACATTTTACTAGAGAAGCCCACCCTCCGGGTTAGTGGCTCTCCCTTGGTTACTTAGGGAGCATTTCTGGTACAGATTCTGTTCTTCCTCCTACCCTCTTTCAGGCTTGGCCAGCTGCAGCCACCCCAGGACCGATGGCCCTGGACCAGCGCCTGCCCCCCCCGCAACCCCGCCCCAGCTGGTCTTGTTTCGGCCATCCCTCCCTCTTCTGATCCAGCCTCTATGTGAGGATGGAGAGCAAGCAGGCTTGGGCTTCTGTGCTTAGAATGCACATAATCAGGGTGGAGACTAGTTCTGAGGCTGCCTCTGGGCTCAGCAGATATAAGAAGGCCCCAGAGGAAGAGGGCAGTGGTGGGCCAGGCGGCCCCGTTGTCTTCTGTGATACTCCTTCCCTGTCAAGAGCCTGAGCTGACCTCCTCTGGACCCCTCCATCCATACAGTCCTGCTTCTCCAGCCCTTTCTCCCACTTCTGTGCTCTCGCTCAGCTGTCCCCCCATCCCAGTCTGGCTTCACGCAGCTACTCCTCAGAGGCCCCTCACATGTGACTCGCTACTGAGCCTGGCCTCCTGGCCCGCACTCATGCTGGGAACCTCTGCGCCACCTCAGGCCCACCGAGAACCCGCCGCGGTGGCCTCCAGCGCATTTGCGCAGGAAGCTCTTCACATCTCTGCGTTCAGTCAACGCTAAAGGTGAAATCTCGTGATGAGGAGCCTGTGGGATCCTCCAACTGCTTGATCCAGTTGACCACAGGGCCAGAAAGTACATTCTTTTTAAGCAGAGGGACTTAGCCCCACAGAGCCAAGGAAATAGCTCCCAAAAGGAAAAAGTCAAGAATGTGCCTTCGAATTTTTCTAAGACATTGGCCTCAGGAAAGTTACTCTTATTACCCCATCAACTGAGGCTATCTTGGATATCAAAGCCGCATACTTTGTCAGTGGCCTGGAGTGAAAATGCCCAGCCCTGTCTGAAATGGACCCACAGGTGAGGAAACAGTACTTTGTCCCGGGAAGCCTCTGGTGCATGCACACAGCTGCTGGTGCCCGGCCCCACCCCGCCCCAGTCTCCGGCTTTCAGTGGTGGGAGCTCTGAAGGCCCACACTGTGACATTCAGTGGAGGGAGTCGGAAGGGGCATAGGAGGTGACTGCTATTGGGTGACAGAGCCGAAAAGACCTCAGAGGGTCTCAGGAGAGCTCAGCAAAACTCCTCCTCCCTCCTGCCAGGGGGCCTTCCCACCCACCCCCCAACCTGGCCCTGCACCCACACCCACCTGGGAAAGCTCCTGATCCTGGAGGACTGCCTGCCCCTGGAATGGGATTTTCTCTGTGTGTAGCCCAGCACACAACTGTACGTAGTTGCCGTTGATTATTGCTTCATATACCTAAATGCTATCTCCTGGGCCTGATTAGAAGCCCAAGGAGCCAAGAGCACAGACAAGCAGGCCAGGTGTCCACCAGAGAACAGGTCAGAGAAGGCTCCATTTCCGGTTCCAGGCCCAGCTTCTAGGTGGAGACTGTCCAGTATGGACCGTATATAAGGCCATCCCAGGGTTCCATTCCCTGCTTGGGTGAAAAGACCGTTACCTGGGAGTCAAAGCTGCAAAGAAGAAAGTTTGTATTTAAGATAAAGTAGAGGCCACAATTGCAAAGGTACCAGGGAGATTTTTAAACAAAACAGCTAGAAGGAGCTTGGATTAAGGAAGCAGCAAATCTGGACTCGGTCACAGAATTGCTCTGACGGTGGCATGGACCCCTTTGGCTGCAGAAGGAGAAGAGAAGTGAGGCCGGAGAGAAGGGGGTCATGTCATTTGAAATCCAGACTAGGCTCTCAGGAGAGCTCCCCGGCAGAGTCGTCGAGGACTTCTCTGTCACTTCCCAGTGAAGGTCTCCGGGATGACCTGGGTGCCCCTGGTCCTTGGCCATGAGGTCAGCACGAGCACTGCTGGGAATGAGGGCAGCTCCTGCCCCTGGGGGTGGACTGAGGGATTCAGGCCTGAAGGGGCCTGCGGCAGCTCAGGGGGAAGAGAGCCCCACCTCCGGGGTGGCCGGATTTGGCAAATAAAAATACAGGACACCCCAGGGGCGCCTGGGTGACTCAGTCGGTTAAGCCTCCGACTCTTGATCTCAGCTCAGGTCTTGATCTTGGAGATGTAGTTTGAGAGGCGGGGGGGGGGGGGGGCAGGAGAAGCAACAGGGCCAGAGGTCTCCAGCCAGAGCACTCACGCTGCAGCCCCAGGTCCTAAGTCCAAGTGGCCACCTGGAAAGTTCTGGGGCTGCGCAAGTAAGCGAGGCCTCATCCATAAGCTCCAGGGAGCTATCGGGGGCTGGCCTGGGCATGTGCTCTTCTTGGCTTTTTGGCCTAGCCCCAGTAAGGAGCATCCTCAAAGGGGTTTCAGAGCCAGAGTTGACTGAACTCTCTCTCCTCCCCAGCCACCGTGGACATCAAGCCAGGAGAATGGTTGCCAGCAGGACATCAGGGAGAGGCTCGCCTGCCCTCCTCGGAGGTCCCCAACCAGACCCCAGGCAGTGGAGAGACCACCAGGTAGGGATGGGGAGGTGTCCTGGGAGGGCTCATCTCTGGTCCAGCCTCTGACTTTGATCGCAAAGGAGCATTTCACTGGGGCCTGAAGCAACCTGTGGAGAAAGCCCAGGGGGAATGTGGCCACCACACCCGTTAACCTCGGAGCCCAAGGGGAGGCACCTGCCCCCTGGGACTTATCGGTTGTCAGACTGGAAGGAGAAGAAACTCATAAACATGCCCAAGGGACTCGTTTTAAGAACTGCAAGCTGAACACGTTTGTGGGGATGTGTGATTCGGAGTAACCCGTGAGCAGCTCTTTGCTTTTGGAGAAGGCGGGATGGAGGGGAGAGAGATGGCGAACTGGATTAGTGAAAATATTTGGCTCAGATGTCATCCTCCTAAAATAGAAACTGGATCCCAAACGGAAAAAAAGGTGTTTTCTCTTCCTCTGCACCAAATGAGTACAGCGTGGCCTTTGAGAGGTCACTTGGGGTTCTTTAGAATCTCGAAAGCCTGGGTCTCCTTTCAGATCTGAGGCAGCCTGCTCAGGAAGAGGCGCCTAGCCCTGGTGTCCAGACCCAACCCAATGGCGAGGCCGGCTGCTCCCGCCACTTCCTCCTGGCCTTGCAGCATCCTGCAGCTGGACTCGTTTCAAGATGGCAAAGCCAACCTCCTGCACGAAACTATTGGACCTGAGCCAGGTTTCACATGACTACACCCTCAGAGTCCCTGAATTCGAGGAGATTTGCCATGGTGACTGGTCGGGCCTCCTGTGCCTCCACCTTTCTAAAGAATTGGGAAGTGTTTCCGCAAGTGTGTCTGCAGTGAGCAGGCCTACCAGCAGCTGGGGTGATGGCTGACCTTGGCCCCGTCAGGAGCTCTGTGAGCAGCAGGGCCTTGCAGATCTGGATGAGACGGGGGCGGAAGGGCTGCAATCCAGACCCCTGAGACCTGAAGCCTCCCCCACCTGCAGATGTTTCCCCCTTACAGTGTAGAGGGGTCAGAGCAACCAGCCCACCGCCCTCCCCTTACTCAGGCCTGGCTGCCCTCCCTGCTGTCTCCCACGGATGGAAGCCACAGAAACAGGAGTTCCTGCTGAGTTCTAAAGGCTGCAGGGGCCCCAGGACAGGCAGAAGGCCTAGCAGAGCCGGCTCCCACAGGGCAGAAAGTCTGAGGAGGTGGGCAGGCGAGAGGGTGCTGCAGGCCCTGCCCCTCTCCCGGCAGGCAGCACCCCGGGGCCTTCCTTTCTAGGCAGAGATTGCAGGAGGGCACTGGGGAACAAGGAGGTCGGAGCTCCCAGGGGCAGTAGAGCTCTGTGGGGTGGAGCCAGAGGACTTTGGGGCCTGGACTGGGGTGGGGAGGGGTGTCCCCTGACCTGCTGGGGACCCAGGGCCTCACCTCCCCCACCCGGCAGAATGGCTGAAGGTGTGCTCCGGGATTAGAAGTGCCCGAGGCCCACAGGCTGGTCCCACAGGTCAGGGGTTCTCTGGCTCTTGGCACCCTCCTGAAGTGGGGGGCTCAGAATGAGAGACCTCAGAGGACTGGGCCAGAGCTGAGGCTGGGCCCCTGCCGCGCTTGTCCCCTGCGCCCAGGGCAGGACCCAGATACGGTCCTGCGTCTCAGCCGGGCCAAACCTGCCCTGTCAGTGCTAGAACCATGTCTTTTTTTCCTTCCTGTAAAGGCAGAATTCGTGCCTGAGGCTTACTGCTGGAGACAGTCCCCTCTCCCCAGACTAATGTTTTCATAGCAGGGGATCCCCAAAGGCTCTCCTGAGAAACACTCTCCCTGGTGACACCAAGCGGAGTGACCCGGTTGGCCCTCCAAGGTCCTGTTGGGCACAAAAGCCCCCGTGGGGCTCAGTCCATGGGTGCTCTCACCCTAATGTCTGTCATGTGCATTCAACTCTTACTTTAGGTCTGGGAGGAGTGGGGGTGGGTTCTGTCTGAGGAAGAGGAGGATGGAAGGAGGGTGAAGTAGACAGTCGGTCCACCCGCCTCACTCCTGCCGCCTGCCACACCTCCCCACCCCCAGCCTCTTCACCGGCTGCCCCAGGTCTCCGCTAAGCACCCCTTCCTCCTCCCTGACCCCAAAGTCCAGTCACACAGCCCCGCTGCCTCCCCAGTCCATGACTGTCCCCCGCTGTCCTGAAAGACGGGCCACGGTGAGGCTGTCTGTCCCCATGTTCCCAGCTGGTCCAGAGCAGGATCTCAGAATCTCGGGTGGGTGAATCGGGAGAAGGGAGAGAGAATGGCTCTCTATATGGCTTGAGTGGGGGACGTTTGTCCCTCTGCTTTCCCCAGCTCCTCTCTCTCTGTCCTTAGGGTGAGGACAGCCCCTTGCCACAGAAGACGAGCCGCTGGGTGGGCGCGGCTTGACTTCCCGTTTCCCATGGAAGCCCCTGGAGCTTCGGGTTTAGGGAAATGGTAGATTGAATGATACTCTCATTGCTTAACCCCGGAGAGGAAGTGGTTTATAGGTAACCGAGGCTCCAGCCCCACTCTACCAGCTTCCAGCCACTGGTCTTGCTGGGAGTAAAAGCTTCAGACGCCATGAGCCCACTGGCTCCCTCCCGTTCCTTACACCCAAGTGTTCCTGTTGCCACATTTTCTGTCTGCTTCTTAGAGTCCTCAGCGGAGTATCTGGGGAACCATAGTGTTAACCAAGCTGGCCCCCAGGCCCTGCAGAGAGGAGCCCAGCTGGACCCACTGGGAGGCACTGGCCTGGACGGTGCCAACGGTGCCTGCCAGTGTCCCAGGGACCTGCAGGGGAGCGGGCTCCCCGACCCCGGCCCAGGCCCAGCTCCCAGAAGCAAACAGGGTCAGAGTTCCGGTCCTGCCACAGACAGGAAATGACTCTTCAGCAAGCATATGGCTTTTAGAACGTGAAGAAGGGAGAGATTTTACATACGTCTACATATATGTTTATCCCCTCGCACTTGTCCCCAGAGGGTATGTGGCAGCTTGTGGGAACACCTGTGGTGCCTCCAGCTAAAAGAAACGAGAAACTAAGACCAAGTAAGTCAGGAGCATGGGGACAGGAGCCCGCGTGTTCATGTGCGCGCGCACCGTTGGCGAGTCTGTGTGTCTGCCTTCACCTGGTGTCACCCCACGCCTCGCGCCTTTCTGGGCTCTGGTATAGCGCGGATGAAATCTCATGGCAGTGACCGAGAGCGCGTGGCGAGCCCTGATGAGCAGAGTCCACTGAGGGGACCCCAGAGCGAATGTCATTTGTCTCCATGCGGACAGTAGCCCCGGAGAACTGAAGGGCCACAGGGTCCTCTGCCCCGGGGAATGCTCAGCTGGGAGATTATGACTCAGCAGCATTCCAAACACAAGTAAAGATTAAATATCTCCAGAAGCCTTTGATTGCTCTTCCCTTCCACACAATGCTCCTATTGAGGAGTCGAGATCATCTCAGTGGGCCAGGCCTCTCTAATAAATAATGGTCTATCTTGCAGGCCACCTCCCAGTTCACCCAGATCGTAAAGTTTATCTACTACTCAGCACCAATATTCCCACAGCAATTTACTTTCCCAGGTCATAGGTCACTGCCATCCCAAATCTCCTGTCCGCGTGCTTTTCCTGCCCTGCCCTAATCTGGCCTCATCGCCTCCTAAACGATCACCATTTCCTGGGCTCTGGCTCCCCGCTGCTCAGACTGCTGAGCTCACCATTTGGGGGGCCTGGAGGCCTCACTGACCCCCCACCTCTGCCTCCCACGGTGTCCTTCCCGCAGAGCCTTGATGCCATCACCCCTGCGGGAGTCAGGGACAGTGGCCAGCATCCTGTCGACACCACCCCCCTGCCGCAACAGCCCCCAGCATGGTTTGGGCTCAGCCAAGCCAAGGAGTGGCTCTTTGGCGCTCTCCAGTCGCAGAGAAGAAGCCAGAAGGAGCCCTTGTCTGAGGGTGCTCTTCTCCCCAGCAACATCGCTACCATGGCCAAACAAAGGTTGTGCCCCAGGGCAAAGAGGAGACTGACTTTGAAGGTGCATTAGTCAGGGTTCTCCAGAGAAAGAGAACCAACAGGATGGGGGTGGGGGTGGGGGGTGGGCAGGAGGGGGATATTTTAAGGGTTTGGCTCACATGATTGTAGAAGCTTGGCCAGTCCAAACTCCCCAGGGTAGGCTAGCAGGCTAGAGACCCAGGGAAGAGTTGCAGCTGGAGTCCGGAGGTGGTCTGCTGGCACCATTCTTTCCTGCTCAGAGGAGATCAGTCTTTGTCTATTCGTGCCTTCAACTGATTGGATGAGGCCCACCCACACTGTGGAGGGCAATCTACTTTGCTCAAAATCCACCTATTTAACTGTGAATCTCGTCCAAAAAACGCCTGCACAGAAATATCCAGAATCACATTTGACCGAATATTTAGGCACCATGGCCCAGAAAGTTGATCCAGAAAATGAACGGACCCTTAAGAGTTTTCATACACATTGCCTAATTGGTATCCCAAAGGACGGGGCCCTTTTCTGGCTGCTTTGGGGTTGGAAGATTATAGATTCCTAGCCTTGAGACCCAGGCCTTTTCACCCTTCACTTCTTGCCAACTCGCCTCAGCATACCCCATCCCCACAACCTGACAACTGGCTGCCCATTGGCTATAAGGCCCCACGCAGTGAAGCTGGCCAGCCATCCTGGGCCTACCCAGCGAGCTCCTTCACATCTGGCCTCCCTGTCCCATGACCATGTGATGGACACCCCCAGGTAACCCAAGGCTGCCACTCACTGCCAGGAACAGCTGCCAGTGCTCCCTGAGTAGTCTGTACCAGTTTCTCTTAGTTGTTCCTTCTTAAAATGTATTAGGGCTACATTTTAACCAACTGAGCCACCCAGGCGCCTCAGTAGGGCTGCATTTTAAAATGGTCAAGATGGGAATTTTTTTTCTCTTGGAATTACTTTTATTTTTTTATTTTTTCTTTTTTTATTTAAATTCAATTAATTAACATATAATGTATTATTAGTTTCAGAGGTAGAGTTCAGTGATTCATCAGTTGCATATAACACCCAGCGCTCATTACATCACGTGCCCTCCTTAATGCCCATCACCCAGTTACCCCATCCCCCACCACCTCCCCTCCATCAACCCTCAGTGTTTCCTATAGTTAAGAGTCTCTTACAGTTTGTCTCCCTCTCTGATTTCGTCTTATTTTTCTCTCCTTTCCCCTCTGCTCCTCTGTTTTGTTTCTTAAATTCCACATATGAGTAAGATCATATAATTGTTTTTCTCTGATTGACTTATTTCACTTAGTATAACACCCTCTAGTTCCATCCATGACATTGCAAATGGCAAGATTTCTTTTTTTTTTTTGGAGGCTGAGTAGTTTCCACTGTATATATATATATACCAGAAGATGGTAATTTTTGTGTTATTTGTATTTTACCACAACTTAAAAATAATCAGCTGCTATAACAATAATAAAAATATCCAAAATTAGAGGGGTGCCTGGGTGGCTCAGTCCTTAAGCATCTGCCTTCGGCTCAGGTCATGATCCCAGGGTCCTGGGATTGAGTCCCACGTCAGGCTCCCTGCTCAGTGGGAAGCCTGATTCTCCCTCTCCCGCTCCCCCTGCTTGTGTTCCCTCTCTTGCTGTGTCTCTCTCTGTCAAATAAATAAATAAAAATCTTAAAAAAAAAATTAGGATAGCAAAATAGGGAAAGAGTCATTTGAACCAAATAATATTAAAAGAAATTTTAATTTCTTTTAATTAAAAGACACCTGGCTGACTCAAGTCAGTCGAGCACACAACTCTTGATCCCAGGCTGGTGAGGTCAAGCCCCACCCTAGGCGTAGAGCTTACCTACTTACATACATACATACCTACATTTTTTTAAAATAAAGAAAAAAATCATTTTAAACTTTAATAGAATACAATAGGGCTAAATCTCCCGTATCCTTTTTCTTTTTCTTTTTAAATTTTATTTATTTATTTGAGAGAGAGAAAGCAAAAGCACTAGCAGGGGGACCCGTATCCTTTTCAATCTGGTATCAAAGATTTCTTGCCTGGGGCGCCTGGGTGGCTCAGTCGTTAAGCGTCTGCCTTAGGCTCAGGTCATGGTCCCAGGGTCCTGCGATCAAGCTCTGCCCTGCTCAGCGGGCAGTCTGCTTCTCCCTCTCCCTCTGCCGCTCCCCCTGTTTGTGCTTTCTTGCTGTCAAATAAAATCTTAAAATAATAAATAAGTAAATAATAAAACAAAGATTTCTTGCCTAAAGTATGGGCAGTTTTTATGCCAGTCTTCTCCTAAATTTGAATTTAGGAGATTTTTCAGATGTTTCAGTTTGATTTTTCTAATGATTAAAATATTCTCACTGTGAAAAAAAAGGGGGGGGCATATGGAAATATAGAATTGATTCAAATAAGAAATTCCAGTTTCCTCCCAGGTCCCACTCCCCAGAGCCAGAACCTCCATTTATGGGGCCCACACTTGACCTCAGGGCACAGCCTCCCTTGCAGAATCATCACAGCTGTTGTAGAGACATTTTGCAGGTGGGGAAACTGAGGCTCCCCAAATGTTGGCAAACTTGCTTACGTTCAGTCATTAGCTGGAGAGCAGCAGAGCAGGACTGAGGGTCCGGGCCCTTCCAGTGAGCACGCCCCCCGCCCCCCACCTGCCTGTGGTTCCCACCCCGTGTGTGCACACACACGCACACCCTCCCCACCGTTCACCAAGCGGGGCCTCACTCTCCAAGCTCAACAGCTGTTTGCTGTGCACTGACTGGGTGAGGCCCACAGACTGAGGCACCCGCTTAGGGAAGGGCAGACGGACCTGCCATGTACAGAGCATGTGCCGGGCTGGTAGCTGAGCTGCTGCGTCCGTTAGCTCGTTCAGTGGTGATGGCAACCTTGGGACTCCAGTCCTCAGTTATAGTCGGGGAAATGGGCACATAGATAGCAGGGCCCACAGAAGTCAAGGCTGGAGCAAGGTAGATACAGCTCCGTGACCACCAGACAGCAAAGGGCTGGGTAGGGAGG